CCGTACCGGACCAGGACCGGCAACGGGATCGCAACCCTCGGTGTTGCCCCCGCACCTCGCTCAGCCAGTGAGCGGGAACCGGTCTGTATGTGGGATCCAAACCCTCGGCGGGAGCGCCTCCGCGCTTCCCAAGCGGCGCACTAGCACAGTGTGCCACCGGGCCGGCCCGTATCACAAATAGTCTTCTGTAGGCCATTTAACACAAGTGTTTTATGACTAGGTATTTGGAACCTCAATGTTGACTAGTCCCAGAATTGGAGCTTGGTTCCTACCCAATAAGTAAATGGATATGAATAGACCACAACAAACCGATGTGAATCCATTGGCATGATTAAATGTTTAAGCATTGCCCTGTCCAAATGTGTAGTCAGTCCTCATAGGGAAATAATACACCTACTTCAGACATTTGCATTTGACAATAAGATGATGATATGTAATCTGGTTTATATTTTACATAAAGCATATGGGCTACTTTATGAAGAACAAACTGACAGTTGTGAGCTGAAGGAATTAAGGAGGCTATTGCTGTAGATTAGACAAGGTGTGGTGCTTTGGATTAAGGTAAATGGAGCTGGAGAGAATAGACAGATTTGAGATAAACGTTTCAGGTAAAGTGGTCAGGACTTGCTGATAGATTAAATGGGGGAAGTGAAAGAGGAGGAAGTAAAAAATGGTTTCTAGGCTTCCTGATTGAACAGCTGCCATTTACTGTAATGAATAAGAACTGAGAGATAAACTGGTAATGTGAAGAGGTTGATTAATTAAGAATTAATCGAGGGGATATTGTGGACACTCCTCCCCTGCCAAAAGGTTTTGAATTTCATGAGGGATAAGGAGGTATTCAAGTTCAAGGGTGGGGAAGTGGTTTTGTTACAAATGTCAAGATAGCAGTTAAAAGGTAGCAAGGTTAGTATCTAATGCCTGTTTTGGACGTAGATGAGTAAATAGTTCCTGCTGTGTTGTAGACTCTAGAAATTCACCCTTTTCCTTTTGTGATAATAATTTTCACATTTGTTAGAAGTTTAGGTTTATAAGTCAGGTACTGAAGACAAGTTTTTTTTATTTTTGGCGGCTGGCTGGTATAGGGATCCGAGCCTTTTTTTTTTAAGGAGGGTCCAAAGTTGATTCCTTTAATGGGAAAAATATTGTCCCCTAATTTATTTGATTTGACAATTTGAATTCTCATCTCTTGGATATGTTTGAAAAAGTGTTCTTGGCCAATCAGTCCTTTGCATTTATTGAAAGATTGCTTTGTAACTGTCTTGCAGGTGTGTCTGCTCTCTGCTGTTTCAGGAAGGCTTCCCCAAAGGCAAAACCATGGTTTTTCCCCCACATGCTCCTATGGTGTCTAATCTATGCTAGACACTAAGTGGTTTGTAATTGCTGATAAACAGTCTGCCTCAAATGGGGAAAAATAAAGTTCGCTAAAATTATCTGCTCTGGGGCCGGCCCGGTGGCGCACTGCTACAGTGCACCACTTGTATCTAAAAATCATGTATGTATCTTTTTATTACTGAATGGTAGCAGTTTCTTTATGTTTCCTACATAGCAGTCATTTGTCAGGTATGTGTTTTGGGAAATATTTTCTCCCTACCTACTGCTTGCCTGTATACTTTCTTAACGATGTTTTGAAGAAGAAAGAAACAATCAGCACTAAAGGTACATGTTATCTGTCATTTTACAGATTTGAAGCTATTTACAGTAGTCAAAATATACCATACTTAAGTGAAGGCAATTTACCAGTAAGCATGGTTTCAAAACATGTGCATTTAAAAATTCTATGTAGTGGCCGGCCCAGTGGCGCACTGCTACAGTGTGCCGCTTGAGAGCACGGTGGCACTCCTGCCGAGGGCTCGGATCCCACATACAGACCGCTTCCCACTCACTGGCTGAGCGAGGTGTGGGAGCAACACCGAGAGTTGTGATCCCGTAGCCGGTCCCGGTCCGGTACGGGCGCGACACTGAGGGTTGCGATCCGTTGCCGGACACAAAAAAAGACAAAAAGGAAAAAAAAAAAATTATCTGCTCTGGAAGCTCAAGACCAGGAGCTCAAACATGCCCTCTTAGTCAGAAATTACAGTGCTGCAGTAATATGTGGAACTCTGTATTGCTAAAAGAAAAAAGAGACAATTTCAAAAGTCCCAAGTTACTTGCTTTGTCCCAAGATTCAGCTAAGATGCTAGGCCACTGAAGAGTTCCCAGGTGTCCAGACATTTGTTTTTACCCCACTATGGAGAAGTCTGCATGAGTATCCTTACTAACAGGGTGGAATCCCTTCTACTCAAAACACTTGATATCTCCCACAAGACCTCACCAGACCCCATCAGGCTTGATGGCAATTCAGGTACACTCATTGTTGGCCATGGTCCCCTCCAGCTGCTTTGGCTTCAACTGTGGCCGATCTGAACCCTTGACCTTGGTGTTATGACACTGTGCTCTAACCAACTGAATTAACTGGCTAGCCCCGAAGGCATTTTATTTTTAAATATAAATTTTTACTCCTGGAAAATTCCAAACTAATACAAAAGTATGCATCCTCTATCATAAATTATAAATAGTTCTCCTCACCCCAGGCTGTTTTTAAACAATTCGAAGGCATTTTATAACTTGAACATGTATGTACTTAATAGATGTGTGTGCAATTTGCATATTCTGGCTTATTATGAAAAATATAGCAACTAAACATATACATTAAGCACTGATTTTGACAGAACACACACTGAGTAGCAAATTTGGGGACAAGCAAATGACTCGCACACACATTCTTTGCTAGTGAAGTTCATCTAGTTGTATTACAACATGATGCCTCTGATTACCAGTACTCTAAAATGGGTAATCTCTATTGCTTTCCTTATCCTCTTTCCTCCCTCTTTCACCTCTTTCCCGTATCAGCCATGTTATTTCAGTTGTAGAATGTTACAGCTGGAAAAGATACTTGGAAAAAATATTATAGTTACATCTCATCTTACTATTGAAGAATTAAGGCCCATAGAAATTGAGACTTGGCCAGGGTCATGCTGGGTTTTGCCCTTTTCAGTATACCATACTGCCTTGACATTTATAGTTGTCTCTACCCTTCTGATTAGTATATTTGCTCTATTACTTTTCAAATCAAACTTAGGTTGTGTGCAGACAAATAACAACATAAGTTTGATAGCTACGTAATTACAGATTGCTTTCTGGAAGAATTTGAAATAAAAGTCTCAGCAGTTATAATAAGTTGGCTTCTGAAAGGATCAATATATTTTACAAAAGCAGTGTTTAAATAGATCTCTATGTGTTGTTTTGCAGAGCTCAATATTGTTATCTACCAAGGAGTTTTTCTTATGTTTCAGTCTTCTATCCCAAGCAAAGGAATAAGCTCCATTAGGGTTGGGATTGTAAAGAACTCTGGGAACCATCCAGCAAAGACCATGCTCGATAAACATTTGCTAGATTGAAATTTTATCTCTTTGGGGGAGTCCCAGTCACATCTGATTAATACTAATACAGATGTCCCTCAGTATCTGTAGGAGTTTGATTCCAGGATCCCTAACAGATAACAAAATCTATGGATGCTCAAGTCTCATATAAATTGGCATAGTATTTGCATATAACCTATGCACATCTTCCTGTATACTTTGTCATCTCTAGATTACATATTATACCTAATACAATGTAAATGCTGTGTAAATAGGTGTTATGCTGTATTGTTTATGGAATGACAAAAAAAATCTAAGCATGTTCAGTACAGACAAAACTGTCCATTTTTTGAGGAATATGTTTGATTCGGGTTGGTTGAACTATTTTTGATCCGTGTTTGGTTGGGGAGGGCTCAGCTATACATTTATTTATGAACAAAATAATCTTTCTTACATGGTATTTAAGATTATATGTTTTAGGGCTGGCCCGGTGGCGCACTCGGTAGAGTGTGGCGCTTGGGAGTGTGGGGGTGCTCCCGCCGAGGGTTCGGATCCCGTATAGAGACTGGTCCGCTCACTGGTTGAGCGTGGTGCGGGCACAATACCGAAGGTTGCGATCCCGTTGCCGGTCGCGGTACAGGCGCTACACCGAGGGTTGCTATCCCATTACCGGTCACGAAAAAAGACAAAAAGGAAAAAAAAAAAAGATTATATGTTTTAGCTCACCTCATACCAAAAACTGATCAGAGCATCCAGTTTTTCCCCACCTCTGCTTTTGCAAGCATGTATAGCAAGGGGAATGAAGTTAACATTCTTTACTACTTTTCAGGAGAAATCATTATACCTGCAGAGTAGATTATTTGGCTGTTTGCCAAGCTGAATTGCCTTGAAGTGATTTCTTTAGAATTTGGTTTAAGAACGAAGAATATTGTTTATTAAGTTGATACCAAAGTTACCTAAAATTGTCAGATACCTTTGTGGTTAAGCTTGCATCTTCTTTTTCTACTAGTTGCAGTTTGCTTTCAAGCCCACAAACCTGGTAGGGATGTCAGAAAGGATTAATAATGAAAAAACAAAAAACCAGAAACAAAATGCTTGGGTATTGACAGAAAAGAGTATTCTTATCTATTGTTATTCAAATTCATAATGAGTTCCATTATGGATCAAAGGGAAGCTAATAAACATTAGGGTCCATAGCTGATGGCTTTATGATGGCTCCTTGAAATTGAAATGCATGGGAAGAATATTAAAGAATGGGAAATATTCATTGTATCCACGTTTAACTCTAAACTGCCCTAGTAGTTTTACTGCCACATAATTAAGGTAACTGCAACTGTTTCCTAAAGTGGTTTAGACTATTTAGCTGAACTAATTTGTGTATTTTTAGACAGTGATATTTTGGGCTAATTTGTAAAATTTAAAGAAGAAATTAACATTTTATGTAGCAAAATGGGGGAGTGCTAATTTGATAAATTGTGGATATTGCTGGGGGGCGGGGAAGGCACAGTTTGTTTTTTGGCTTTATTGTTGCTTTGTAAAGAAAAATTAAAAAACTTTTTTTTTCTTCCTTTCATTTTCTTGGGGTGATTCCAACTCCAGAAGGTAAGAAGTATTACTTTATTCTAAAGAAGTATTATGCAGTTATAAAGCACTCTTTTGCAAGTTTAATTGGACTTACCTTTGGATGCATGATTTTTACCTTATAAAACTAAATAATTAGTCCAGAAACTAAATAATAGTGATATTATTATGTAAATGTTTATTTGCTTAATGTGCCTTTTTTGTTCTTGCTGTTTGTAATCATTGTTTGGTCATAACTTTAGAAACCCAGTCTACATTAAGTTTGTTAAAATTATCACTTGACTTACTAGTATTGGGATACTTAGTATTCCACAGATTAATAATGAAAATATTTAAGGGATTTGAAACATGTATATTAACCTTTGATTTATGGCTATAAGATTGAAAATGTATGTTTATGCTCTGATAGATTTAGAGAAAATATTGGTAAATCCTCTAGGGGAATGATAAAAACCAAGCCAGAGCAGGTTAAATCTTCATAGTCTGGATCCTTTACTGACTTGGCCTTTTGTCTGTTTTGGTATAGCATTGTAGATACACCTCTGTTATAGCAGTTCCCATGTTATATTATAGTTAATATTCAACTTGCATTTGTGACTTGAGAATTAGAGAAAATATTGGTAAATCCTCTAGGGGAATGATAAAAACCAAGCCAGAGCAGGTTAAAATTCATAGTCTGGATCCTTTACTGACTTGGCCTTTTGTCTGTTTTGGTATAGCATTGTAGATACACCTCTGTTATAGCAATTCCCATGTTATATTATAGTTAATATTCAACTTGCATTTGTGACTTGAGAACAGGAATCATATTCATGGATTTTCATGTCATGTGGACATGGCATGCTTGGCTTCTTAGTCAATCTTTTTGACTCCAGTTAAATTTGTGCCCCATTAGTTCATTTATAAGAACCTATGCGTTTTTGGACAACATTTTATGGAAGAAAGCTTAATTAAGGTCTTACAAAGTTAAAATTTAATTAAAAGCTAGGTAAATTTTTGATGTATTAGTTTTGTTCGAAAGGAGTGTATATTTGGTTGGGTTCTTTAGAATTAAAAGCTAGGTAAATTTTTGATGTATTAGTTTTGTTCGAAAGGAGTGTATATTTGGTTGGGTTCTTTAGGTACAAATAATAGGAACCAGATGTGAATAACTTAAGCAAAATGAGATTTATTTGAAAAATGTGGGGTATCTCACAGGCTCACAGGAAAGAAACAAGTTGTGAAATTAAGAGAACAAAGGCAGCTTCAGAGATCAAGTAGCTAGAGCTAATGGATAGTCTCCTCAAGGCACTGCAGCTGGGATAAAATTAGTCTTCATCTGTTCCACTGAAGGTTAAAAATTAAGAAGAGTGAGTGAGCTTGGGTGTTCCAGGGACCAGGGATGGTGAGACATCTTGATTGACAGTCCTACCAAGACTGTTTCCAATGGGATACAGCATAGTTTCCCAAAGCAAAATTGAGCATTCTTTTCGGAAGAAGAGAGAATGGATATTGGCCAGGCAAAAACAACTAGTTCACTACATTGCTCTTTGTAGAAAATTAGGGTACAGTAGAAAAACATGCATCACAAGCAGTTGTAAGAAATAACCCTTTATGCAGATTCTCCCAATGGTAACATTGTGCAAAACTGTAGTATAGTAGAACAACTAGAATATGGCTTTTGATACAGTCTGCCTGATTTTACTGATATTCAGTTGCATGTGTGCACGTGTGGATGTGGATGTGGTTGCAGTTTTATCATATGTATAGATTCATGTATCCACCACCATGACAAGATACAGAAGCAGTTTCAACAGGAGTATTTCTTGTGTCCCCCTTTTATAACCACACCTACTTTCCTAGTACCTCTGTCTGCCACTAATCTGTCTGCCATTTCTATAATTTTGTCATTTTAAGAATTTATATAGGGCCGGCCTGTGGCTCACTCGGTAGAGTGCGGTGCTGATAACACCAAGGCCACGGGTTCGGATCCTATATAGGGATGGCCGGTTTGCTCACTGGCTGAGCCTGGTCCTGACAACACCAAGCCAAGGGTTGAGATCCCCTTACCGGTCATCTTTTAAAAAAAAAAAAGAATTTATATTAATTTAATCATACAGTACATAACCATTTGGGATTGGATTTTTTTCCCCCGCTCAGTGTAATTCTCTGGAGATTCCTCCCAATTTGTCTCAGTAGTTCATTCCTTTTTATTTCTGAACAGTAGTCCATGACATGGACATATCATAGTTAGGTTGTGATTTTCCTGGTTCTTGGTATGACAGGTGATTTTTTATTGAATTGTAGACATTTTCGCTATTATGTTAGGAGATGTTGGGTCCTATTAAACTTTTTATTTAAGCAGGCAGTCACCATGCTTAGGTTTACCATGCAGGTCCTAGACTCCTTTGGTGGGTTGTGGTTCCAATAACAATTTAATTTTCAGATCCTTTGCAGTACTATTTTGGTCTGCTTGTTTCACTGGTACCACAGTAAAACATTGTTTTCTGCTGCTTCTGTCTGAGGAAGTGAAGGGAGTTTTCACAAGCTAAGCTGCCTGATGCCTCTAAGTGTAGAAAAAAGGGAGTCTTCAGTCTCTGGGGACAGAGAGGCTTCTGGGGCCAGGTACTTGTGGCAGGACCTCCCTTGCTTGAGCCACTGGGCTGCTCAGAATCTTGGGGACAGGAGAAAGGGGTAGTAGTCTCAGGCCCACGAAGACAGAGAGGCTTCATAGGCTGGGCTGCTTCTTGTGGTCTGATCCCATTTGCTGGTGCCACCTGGCCTCTCCTATCTTAGTGTTTATTTTTGAGGCTTGAGGGAAGATAACTTGCAGCCAAAGCCACATAATAATCTCCTAAGATTTACCATAACTCTTACTTATTTTTCTGAGTTGGAAAATGCCAGGAGTTGGTAAAATTAATGGATTAACCTACTTCAAAACTCTGAATCTCAACATAAATGGCTACGTCAATACTGATCGTTCTTGTTCAAAAGCAGAAAATTATTGTAATAATACTAGCTGTTTAGATACATAAACTGTATTGCTAAATCAAAAAATATCAAATAGGACAAATATAAAATTACTACAAATTTCTGTCTTTTGATGTACTTAATCAAATCTGTTAAATTTTATTCTCTCTCCAGCTCTGTTCTTTCAGAACTATGCTTATAGTATATATTCACAAGTATTCAGTTTTTAGTTTCTGTTTTCCTCATTACTCTTTTTACCCCAAATAATAGGCACTCGTATGCAACCCTCTCTCTTTGGTTCAGAGACATATACACTGTGTTAGGAATTTGATCCAGCCAGTTAAGGAATGTTAGTATTCTGATTAGCAGAAATAAAAGCATTTGATATTTCTTTATATGTAGTAGTTGCAGGGTAACCTTTCTTACAAAAAATGGAGGAGCATTCTGTTTCTCTTAAAGTTTATTTTTTTCTTTTTATTACCTATTCCTCATAAGATTGAAAAGCCAGATGCTATCATGAACTAGTAGTAGAAATGGCATTTACTAAGATGGTAATCAGGTACTTCATGAGTATGAAATAAACTTTAAATAAACCTGTGAAGTCTTTGTCTCATAAATAAAGACATTAAAGTAGCTAAAGAAATTGCGTAGCTAGTAAGTGATAGAACTTGAACCCACATCAGTCTAACTCTAAAACATAAGTGCTGCTTCTGCTGCCTCACTTTTGAGTAGGATCCAGGAGATTGGAGATTGGGCAAGGATCTTAATGAACTGTTTTCTGTTTCTCTTTAGGTGAAAAGTTATGATGTTCTGCAAGGTCCTTTTATACCAGTAGTTTGTGATTACCTAATCTAAATAAAGTTAAACCTTGATATTCTATGTATTTGCTTAAAAAATAGAACATAGAATCAGTGGACTCCTTTCTTTCATTTGAAACTGTTTTGCGGGCCGGCCCGGTGGCGCACTGGAGAGTGTGCCGCTTGAGAGCGCGGTGGTGCTCCCGCTGAGGGTTCGGATCCCATGTGGAGACCGGTTCCCGCTCACTGGCTGAGCGCGGTGTGGGCGCAACACCGAGGGTTGCGATCCCGTTACCGGTCAGTAAAAAAGACAAAAAGGAAAAAAAAAAAAGAAACTGTTTTGCTTACTTGTTACTGCTAGTGAACAAACCATGCTTTTCAAAAGACAGTAGTGGAAATAAAGACAGTAATGGGATGATAAAGAGAGTGAATATTTACAGTGAAGTGTTAAGAGGATGGAGAGAGTATAAACAAGCAAAATTTCCAGGAATCTTTTTTATTTCTATGGCCTCCTTCTTTAGGCTATTCCTAGATCAGTCTCCTTATTTGTTCTGTGCCCCTCTACTCTTCTATTGGTCTAGAACCTCATTTTGGAGGGCTAGCCCATGGCTCACTTGGGAGAGTGTGGTGCTGATAACACTAAGGCTGCAGGTTTGGATCTCTATATAGGGATAGCTGGTTAGCTCACTTGGGAGAGCGTGGTGCTGACAACACCAAGTCAAGGGTTAAGATCCCCTTCCCGGTCATCTTAAAAAAAAAAAAAAGAACTTCATTTTGGGGCCCCAGCTAGGCCTCCTTTCCAAAAAATGCCTGTTTAAAAGTTTTCCTGACATCCTTTCCCCCTGTCTCCAGTGATTTCATTCCCATTTGTTTGATGGTATGTTTTGGTAGGAAAACAGTTTGAAGAATCAATTCATTAAAGTATGGACAAGTCCTACTTTGATGAGTAACATCATACATGTTACTTTTTAAATTAAACTTTTAAATTGAAAAGCTGCATATATATTTTAATGGAGATTAGTTGTTAACCCAAATGAATTTATTTTTGGTGGAATTGCAGGTAATATGATCAAGGGAAAGCAGAAGATTTTACTGAAAGAGTATAGGAATACACAAATTTTCAGTGAATTTTAAAATCTACCATCACTTTTATTAGTTTGGTAATTTCTAAACTCACTGTTTTCCAGTGTAAGAGTTTAGTTCAGTATTGTTCTGTGTGCTCTGTTTATAAAGGCAGGTATATATGCCATAAAATTTTTTTTTGGTTTTTAAGTT